GCTGACGCCATTCCTGTTAAATTTTTATAATAACATCACGTTTGTTTTTCATGCTTGGGACAATAATTTGATTGATTGATTTGTGTGGTTCACGTCCCAAAACCACCATCTGATTATGAGTGACGCCGTAGTAGAGGGCTCCGGAAATTTAGACCACCTGGGGTTTATTAACATGTACCAAAATACAAGCACACAGGCCTACAACATTTCCGCCTCCATCGAAAATGCAGCCGCCGCAGCCAGGATTCGATCCCGCGACCTGCGGGTCAGCAGACGAGTACCTTAGCCACTAGACCACCATGGCGGGGCATGCTTGGGACAGCCAAATATGTAGAGAGAATTCAAGACGACGCATTGATACAAAATTATCAGTAAATAGTTTACTTTCCATATGCTTCACGTCCTTATCTCAAGTTCTATGTGTTTGTCGTGATTGCCTGAAAGATGGCCTCGAGCACAACCAGCTTTTTTACCCTGAAGTGCCATTGGGCAAAACAGGAGCTCAAGAACGCTACTTTATTTCGAATTATTGTTTAAACATCTAAATGGCCTTTTTTAATCATTTCTGTTGTATCGAAACTCCTTGTCACACTGTTTCACGTTAATTACCATACGAACAAGAAAAAAAAAACAAAGCCTTCATTGGTATGGGATCTCAAGAAAGTGTACTTAAAAGAAACCGTCGCGTTTAATTAGGCAGACTATGAACTCGCACAGCTTTCTGGAATCGAAAGTGCCTGTTGTTCTGCACTCACAGAGGCTCTAGTTTGTTGTTATTTTTTCCGCCTTTCAAGCCTTCTATTCCCCGAGGCAATGTTGAGAGCACTCGAAGGGCTGCACGAAACAAGATGCTCGAGGTATTGTTCTTGCGCCGTTGTTTATCCACCTTAGAGCAATCACTGCTTTTGTTTTCACTGTTTTTGTTGCTGTTATCGATGCTGTTGTTCCTTCACAGGTGGCATTGTGTTTTGAAGGGTCCGACAGCCACAGGCAAGGTACTTGTTTTACAAACGCCACTTAAGTAAGCATACTAGAAATCGCGTAGAAAGTAAGTGTGGTAGCTTCATTTGTACCTTTTGTAGAGAAACGCGCTTTCATTTAGAGGCGGAAGTAAAAACACTACGGTGGAAAACATTTTGATTTGGCTCAGTGTTATTATGTTTGTGTCCTCTGCCCTGACAAATATTTACTGTACCCGTGAAAGTGCTTGATTGCTGTTTTTCTTGGTTGTTCAACTCTCTTTCAAGGACCCGGCTCTTTTTCTTTGTGTCAGCGTCATCCCTGATTGTATACAAGCAATGCTAATTATTGCCGGCGCCTCTCGTGTGTGGCCTGGTAATTATGGGCAAAACAATAAACATGGCAGCTCAAATAACTTTTACGTTTTAGAGAACAGCTGAGTGTCTGCCTCAACTTTCGTGGAGTTGTCGTACCGTCCAACCCACACATATCGAACTCGCAATAAATCCAGAATTAGATACTTCATTTCACTCGATAGAAAGATTATAAAAAATCTGCCTTACTTTAGTGCGCAAGTTCGCTTCACTGCACTGATTCACGAAAAGATTAAGGCTTCATGGTAATGCACTGTGAATTTTTGCTTTTGAAGTTCCCACTTTTCCGCGTTCGCAGGGGGGAGTGGGCCTATATGCGAAAAAGTACGGCGTCGACAGAACAGCACCTATTTTTTTTTATGTGCAGGTACACACTCGTCGGGCGCAGAAAGCCTCGAGATCATGTTGGCCTAAATTTTAGTATTCATTTTCCAAGTGAAATCTGTTCCAAGTGTTTCCAAGTGAACCCGCGCCCTTTTGGTCAGCTGCCGAGCACTGTTAGCACTATACCACCATGGAGGAAAAGTGCCGAGCATCTGGTGAAAATAACTGTTTGGATAATAGCAGAGAGCTTATATCAACAATGCACGTTGACCATTTGATGATGCGAGAAAGGAAACAATCGCATTTTGTAATGAAAATTGCCGTCAGTTTCCGACATACAAAGCATCAATACGTGGTTTCACCCTATATCCATCTTAAAAGGGTTCTTATAGCGACGCATACAAGTTTAAGAGAGATCTAGCAGTGATACAAACGCTATTACATGCGAATAATGCGTTCATTCATTTCGCCAAGATGGGACTTCGATCCAATCTGTGAATAGGTAGGTCAGCACTGGTAAGACTGCCATCGCGTTCTTCATCTGTGCTTGTCGGGTTTCAATAAAGCCAGCCTTCTGGATCCCCCTTGGCATTCAGAACCATACTTTTTCTCAAGGACGTCCTTGCCTGCTGTCTTAGCGTTCTAGAATTCCCTAGTTTAAAACTAACGCACTATTTTCTACCCTGCAGCGCAGTGAGGTGAACGTGAGAATTTCACTAGAGGTATCTGACGCTCGCCGCATGACTTGGGCGTTTAAAGCAGCTGCACTTAATCTCTATGCAAATAGGTTTGGCCTACGGTGCCAAGCAGGTCGGAGAATGGTATAGTTTGATGTTCATTTTTGCAAGGCTATTATTTACGTTCCGCCCCGTGAACACTGTACGCAGAATGCGAGGGGTAGGGGGGTGAGATGCTGGTGCACTCAGATGCTTTTTTTGTAGTGCGAAGCATTTTTTCACGTACTGCAAGCACGTTTGCCATCTATCTATCTATCTATCTATCTATCTATCTCTATCTATCTATCTATCTATCTATCTATCTATCTATCTATCTATCTATCTATCTATCTATCTATCTATCTATCTATCTATCTATATATCTATATATCTATCTATCTATCTATCTATCTATCTATCTATCTATCTATCTATCTATCTATCTATCTATCTATCTATCTATCTATCTATCTATCTATCTATCTATCTATCTATCTATCTATCGATCTATCTATCTATCTATCTATCTATCTATCTATCTATCTATCTATCTATCTATCTATCTATCTATCTATCTATCTATCTATCTATCTATCTATCTGGCCGCCTACGTCTGAGCGCTTTCATAACACCACCTTAACTTGGGGCACACTAAAGTTAGTACGGGAGGGCAAGTTGGTTTGACGAATATGACGTGCTAGTCATGAGATGAATAACGTGACAATCTCGTTGGGTATTCCGTCAAACACTTGCCAAAAAATATTGGCACATACCAGGAGGCAGGTATGTGCTACTGGTATGCGGGTATGTGTAAGTGGTGACAGGCGTTTCATATTTACCCAGCAACGCCGAGTGCACACATGGGTAAGTTTTACGCTTGAGCGTTAAAAAAGGCTCAACAATCGTTGAATAGGCGAATGCAAAAAGTAAATGTCAGTGTCCAAGCAGAAATCGAACCCTAGTGGTCTGCGTGGCAATCAAGTATTCTACCAGGAAGCCTCGTCAGGTCTGGAAATTACTTTGCAAATGAACCCTAACGTCCGTGGCACAACAACTCTGGTTGCAATACTGGCATTATCATTTCATAAGTACTCCTTCGATACACCCATTATGTCGGGTTAACCTCACTTGTAGTTACGCGCCATGCACTGAGATTGATTTGTTTAGCAGTGTTGAAGGTTACTATCCTCGGGAGGCCCACCGCTAACGGCAGGACTTCATATGAGCTTACCGCTTCTGGTGTTGCTAGTATTCATGTTGCTGTTGGCATCTTTACGCAACTGCAAACAACTGCTAATATAAAACATATCCGGCTGTTTAATGTATGTGTGTGTGTGTGGCTTTGTATATATATTGAGTGCGACTTCATGACGTCTCGCTCAATAAAAAAATCAGAACACGTACACCTTGCATCCGCATGCTTCACATAACATCGATTTGCAAGCCACTTGAGATGTGCCGATTTATTTTGAACATGACTTTAATTTCATAGGTGAAATGTGAAAATTTGTATTCGAGATTTTACATTTCAAATCACGGTTACATCACTTACGGCTACAAAAAAAGCATTGTTTCACGATCTGTACAATTAATTTCGCCAGCAGTTTCGCTGTACAATTAATTTCGCGTAGAACGATTCTGTTGTAGTTACGAGGCACACGAAGGTCACTGCACTCAATGCGCAGCCTTCGTTTGCGTAAAAGACCCGCTTTTCAGACACAACGAAGTAAAAACTGAGACGCTTATTCGCGTTCATTTGTACCTGCGAGTGCGCTTCGTGCGTCATTTGTGTGTGAGAAACGCGGGGCACGTTTTGATCTGCTTGCCATTCTGTGCGTGCCCTTATAATTTGTTGCTATCGCTTGCTTGCTTGCTTGCTTCATCATTTCTCGTGGCTCACATCCACTAAAGGAGATTGGCCAATAAGCTGTGACTTTTTTTCTTTGTTCTATGTATTGTGACCAGCATCCCAACGTTTTTTTTTTCAATGCTGTTCTCTTTGTATATGTAGGGGTTTGATTGGTCCAGAACAACTGTTGTTACTAGAACGCAAGCCTCTGAAATGAAGGGATCGTTCAAGAAGTTCAGAATCATTCAGGATGGGGAAAAGCGTATGCGCCGTGGCATGGTGGAAAAGGCAGGTCGAAATTCGATAGTGCGTTGGCACGATAGCTTGTGCTTTTCTGCACCACTGGTGTGCACTGCAGCCACCTAGTGTGTGTCAACAGGGCGTGATGGTAGGCGAAGAGAGGGTCCTTGTAAAACAATAGGTCAATATTTTATCACAGTGTCATCAAGAGAAAAAAGTAACATTAGAGCTTTGAGGAGCCCAATTGTTTCTGACCTGACAAGCCGGCTGCACAACACACACCCCGTTGAAAGATACTCTGAGATATATCTCTTTATCTTACTTTTGTTCATTAGTACTCATTTTAAAGTATTGGTGAAATTTCAGCATAATGTCACTTTTGTGTATCCCCCATAGCCAGTGCATGTCATGTTGAGTAGAGAAACATCATCATCACCAGCAGCCGAATGCATGAGCGCTCGAGCGCCCATGGCCACGCCCTGGTGCACCAGCACAGAAGAAGCAGCGTCTGGTTAAAGCGGTAGGGCGGCTAGCAGGATGCACCAGCAGTCGTCGCAGTCCGAGGACATGGGCTTGGCCAGTCAACCCAGCTCGGCGTCGCGAAGTTCGGCGGCACTTCCGACCGCCTTCCGAATGTCTCGACGGGACCTCATCGCCACGGCCCTCCTCGTCTCGGGTGCGTCGGCCATCGTCGTCACCGCCGCCATCGCAGTCCGCAACCGCCACCGCCCGGAGCCGCTGCCGTCGCTGCTGGACCTCAAACCCCCTCGCGACAACCCCTGGCAGACTAGGCACCTGCCCCTCTATTTTGAGTGTGAGTCGAGCGCGTGTCGTGCCACGGCCGAGGACCTGAGAAAAAACGTCGCTTGGACCCTAAATCCTTGCGCGGACTTCTACGAGTACGTCTGCTCGAGTGACCGGGCGCGTACGAACGTGTACGACCATGCAGTGGCTCACTACCTGCGCGAAGTCCGGGAGGTCATCCGTAAATACGAAAACCTGGGCTTCTTCTCCAGGACAGCTATGTCTAAAAGAATCACCCACTTCTTTTCCGCGTGCCAGTCCAGTCGGTTAGACTTGTCCTCCTGGAGGTCCCAACTGGCCCATGTCTGGAAGTACCTGGACCTCATCGGAGACTTGGCGGGTCTTGAGAGCATGCTGGCCACGTTTTCGAGGGTCCTCGAAGTCTTCCCTATTGTTCAAGTCAGCGTGCTTGAGGCGTCACGCAGGACGTGCGTGGTACTCACGAAGCCCGATGGCACTGGTGCTGATCGCATCTTCTCTGTACCACACGTGTTCACGACTTCATTCCGACGCTTCGCGTTGGACCTCCTGGGTCACACGGGACACGTGCCTGGTGAGGTGGATGACCTCGTCAACTCCGCGGCCAAGGTAGAAGCCCAACTGCTGAAGTACTCGGGACCTCAGGGTGAGCGGTACTACCACCTGCACGAATACGGAGACATCCCTGCTTCGCAGGTCGGCAATGGCAGCTCAGCCTTCGACTGGACCACATATCTGAGGAACTTCCTCACTGGAATAGTCGCCGTGAAGGCCGACTCTTGCGTCATCGTCAAGTCACCGGCGTACGTGAGGCACGTCGTCAAGGTCTTCGGCAAGGTCTCGAAGAAGGACGTACGTTCATTCCTGAAGCTCAGGGCTGCCATGACTCTCATCCCGTTCCGCAAGCTCGCTGATGGTCCAGAAAAGGAAGAAGTTGAGAGACTCTGCACGCTGGCCACGTACAAGCTCTACCGGTACGCTTTCCTCAAGGAGTTCAATGACACGCAGCTCCTATCGGTGTTTGTCAGCGCGGGAGAGAAGGAAGTAATCGTGAGGATGTCCTACAGGTGAGAAGAAAGCTTTCTATAGCAAAAAGATAGTTAGCTGGGCCACTTGGAATGAATTCATTGTAGTAAGCTACGTGAAAATCAAAGGACGGACATAGCGCTCGTTTTTTCTATTCCTTACTCTGTGCGTCGCCTTGATATTTGTGCTGCTTACTACCAAACAGCTTTCTATTGGGCGCGTAGTGCTATAAGCGTGAAATCAATCGCTGCTGGAGCATGGAAGTAATAGGATTGTGAATAAACTAGTGTGATGCTGCATGCGATGACTTGTTAGTTTCATTTGTGTAAAAAGTTTAATGCGACTACCCCCCGTTCCCTATTGTAAATTGGTGAAAACTTATAGGAGAGAGAAAAGTTGCGCGTTTTGAGTAATTTGTATTTTACACTTTCTACGGACGCTTCTTCGTTAGCATGTATAAAAAGTGCTCAATAGTTTGTCGTAAATGATAAAACATAAGCTAGAACGTTCGCTAGTCTCATGTCGATTTATTTAACAGCTTAGAGAGTCCTCGCTTGAACAAATGTGGTCATGCTCACGGCTCGTTTAGGCAAGTATATTGCATAGGTTAAGGAGGTAGCATCACTCAAGCAAACAATACATTACGACATTGAGTAAATGAAAGGCATGTAGCGTAGTGCACGCAGTTGTCCTTAATTAATAAAGCACACCTTGGCTCACCGGTCGGCACTGCAAATTTTTAATGCGCACGGTAGTTCTGAAAACGCCGTCTGTGAAGTGTTTTGCCGAACAATTTAAAAGATACACTCTTTGTTTCTTTGTCATTGTTGCACAAAACTGAGATACACTGTTATAATGTAATATTAGAAAGAGTCTGTGCCATTCTCTCTCTTAGCTTTTTCAAGCGCGTGTAAGCAACGTTTATTTTTTTTAATTTCACATATTGGATGATGAGTCCAGTCTCTTTGGGAGCACTGCTTATTGGCCTAACAAAATAGGCTGTGGGGCTGGTTGGTGTACATTGTTACTTAGTTTGAAAAGTTCACGATAGAGAAGTACATGTCAAGATTACTGCTGCCCCCAGCTGTATTTATTGAAAACGTTCGTATTACATTTTATAGCCCACTCATGAGAGAGCGGCAGGCAAGGTTGAACTTGGTGCAAAACTTTCATCTTTTGTTTAGTATGCTGAATTCACTGCAACGCAGTGACCGATGTGATGGTGATGCACCGTGCCTCCTTCTGTGTAATGGAAAATGCTTCGGACGGTTCGCCAGCTAAGCGATATTCTTACTTCTGCTTAGGATTTTATTTCCGCAAGCCCTGGTGCACTTTTTTGAAGTGTTTCATTGAGGGGGTAGGTTCTTGAACCACGCCAAAACACAACGCCTAACAACTGTTGATGATCCTTGGCACATTGGTTAATGCCTTTTTTCCTTCCCCATTCCCATAGTATAAATAAGTACCAATTCCAACCTCCGACAAAAGCAGGATCACATTGCGATGACAGCGCAGCCTAACGAATAGTCTAAAAAAATTCGGTGCATTAGACTGTCACATTCGCTGTCACATTACATGAAAAGGCGTCCTTGGTATTGAGCTGTCCACTTGTTTTACTTAATTGAACGGCTTTTCCAGAACTGTTGCTAGAGTAAGATGTGGCGAATAGTGTTCAACGGCCATGTTCCCTTGAACACAAGGGCCTCTAGCATTCGGCATTGTCCTCTAGTTTTATTCCATGGAATGGTGTACATTCAACTGTCGTATTTACTGACACTTTGACTAGACTGCGTCCGCTTGCTTATCTGCTTTATAGAATGATGGCGAAGGCCCCGGGGCCCTGCAACGTTTCAGCCAGTGCGTTCTTTAGCATTGCAATGCGTGTAGTTTCTGTTTTAAATAAAAGAGAAAGAAGGGGCGTTGGCACTAGAAAGGGCCACGAGCACTGGCTTGCTTAGTGGTTCCATTGACCTCGGATGTAGCCAGACGCTCGGGTCCAAGTCTCCGTCTTCGTTTGTCGCAGTTACGACACCGTGAGCGAACGCTAAATGAACGATAAAAATTTAGACAAGACTGCAGTTGTTCTTCAAAGTTCAAAGCTGGAGCAGGCGAGAAGAAACGTTCGCTCTCACCTTTCACTCTTCCGAATACGTCGATGGCATTTTCCAATTAGCGGCCATCTAACAAAGACATGCCGCACGTTGGACCTCATGGTGGCCTTCACACTGTACCTTCCTACCACGTTTTGATGGCCTTGTTGCCATGGTTTTGATGAACCTCGTGCGTCAGTTAACAGATGCCACTATTGTTGTCTTGTAGTGCACACATAAAGTCTAGATGACCTAAGAAACATTGAGCATGAGCTCTTTGCGATGAAGTGGTACCCTGCTTGACACACCGTATGAGGACGCGTCGTTGCTTCTCTACCTGGAGATAAGTACCTCCGATCGGGTGTGCCTTGTGGCGCTGCTCATACGATGTCTTGACGTCAGGGTACAATAGGAACCAAGACTAGTTTTTTGGACATGCTTTAGTCAATTTTTCAGGGCGCACTAACGCTTACCGGTTCATTCGCTACCTTCTTGGGTGCTTGGCCTATGATATAACGCAAAAAAAATAATATACTCTGTGTCAGTCTCAGTACCCTGTAAAGGGAGTTATTATGAGAGCAACGAGATGTAAGCGGGTAGACAGACAGATAGATAGATAGATAGATAGATAGATAGATAGATAGATAGATAGACAGATAGATAGATAGATAAATAGACAGATAGATGCCAAAAGTGCTTGTAGTACGCAAAAAAATGATTCACATTTATTATTTATCGAATATGACTCTTCAATTTAACATACATGACTTTGAACTTTTTAGAGAAGTTTTCAGAATATTAGGAAAACGGAATGTCTGCGCTCAATCAGACAAAAATAGCTAATAACATTCGAGCTTTACCAGAACAGTTCTGCAAGTAAGATGTGGCAAAGTAACGAAGATTATACCTGGCTGGTAATGTACAGTGAAAGCTTATGACATCGCAATGGCTGTTCAAGACGCTTTAGTTGCCCGCAACTGGTGTGTGGCCCTTGGCGTTGCAGCCCGCAGAGCCTCGCCGGCAAGCGCAAACAGAACAAATGCAGGCTCAACTCGGGGAAAAAATCCCGTTATCTCTTTTGATTGAGAGCTTTAAAAAAGTGAAATATCACGCAGGTGTCACAAATTGAAAATGACTTAGCGATGGTCGCTGCTGAATATTTCAAACCCATTACAAAATACAAGAAAGTCAAATACTTGTTCATCGTTAATAATTAGAACGTCAACAATGTGTACGTAATGGCTTAGAGATGTGTAACTGGTACCATCTTTCTTTGAAGAATGCATAAGCGCGTAGTGGGTGCTTCCCTACATAACAAAGCTTACGATTTATGGCATAGTGGGTGGCATGCAAGTGTATTTGTGTAAGTTGCCTAAGAGTGTTTAAAAATGCTCTAGAAAGGCTGCCCTTCCAGCTTTCACTTTGACTGTGCTGTGCGTTTCACGCAAGTCTGCTTTTTTCGTTTTTAATAAGTTGAAGTCATTTCTACCGACAGAAACGTCCTCACGGAAGCCCAGCCCATGTCAAACGCCACGAGCAGGGTTGAGGAGGCCATGAAAAAAGCCAAAGCCAAGTACTTCCGAATCATCAGGGACGTCAACCGGTACTACCACAGCGATGCCACAAAACCAGACAAGGAGATCGCCTACAACTTCGTCCAGGGACTGGGGTCCATGACGCAATCTTGGCTTCGAGTCGTGGTCGCGTCCGGGGGCAAGATCCAGGACAACCAGCTCAACGTGCGCTGGGACTTCGACCCGGACAAGAACAAGCTCATTGTTCCCGTCTCCATAGGCCACATGAAGCTGAAGAGTGAAAAGGAGTTCTTCCTGGAATCCACGAGTCTCGGAGGGGCCATGGTGCAGTTCCTGTACAGGGCGTTTCACGAGAGAACCCTTTTCTCCGTGGGAACGGCTGATCAGAACGAGCATCGCAAAACGTCGGCCACGGCTTGCCTGGAGAAGCAGTATGGTTCGAAGGTAAGAGCGAGGACTTTTAATTGTTTTTGGTGGTACGTGCAATTACCCAAGCTGCAAAGTAGCGAAGCAGGCAACTGTCAGAGCTCGCAAACAAGGACAGAGAGAGGTGATGCCGAAAGTTATCACCTCCAATTGCTATTTCTTTCTTTCTTTCCTTCTTGATTTCTTTCTCTTTTTCTTCCTTGCTTCCTTTCTTGTAACGTTCTTTTCTTTCCTTTTCGTTTTCTTACTTCTTTTCTCAGTGCGAAATTTCGCCCTGTAACGTAACCACTCCCCTCATCATTATTGCGAGTGGTCGTCCCCGGAATAATCTTTTTGGGCTGAATTGGCATGGTGTCATTCCCGTTGGGCTAGTTTCTAAAAATTGTTCAATCCTAGTCCTGTGTCTTTCCTTGTTCGTCTTGGCTCTCTCTTTTGCCGTGTTTTGTTTTCTTTCACACTTTTTCTAGTAGTGTTCGGCTTGTTGAACAGCCCAACAGAAGTATCATCATGGGATAATAAAATTGTGGGCTAGGAATTCCAGTTTATTCGAAGTTAGAATTTTCTTAGAATGTGTAATTCCTGATATCGACATACGAATTGTTCAGGAGATCACTTTCAACTGAACCACACTCAATGCTTCAATGAATAGCCCATAGCAAGTGTTCTCAGTTGTTTTTCGCAATGTTTTTCGAACGCATTTGTATGCTTCAGCTCCCGCCTATAAACAGGGATATGAAGCCTAGTGGCTGAGGCTATCCCTTCCGGATCGGGGGGACACAGTTTCATACCGTTCAGTTTCCTTTAGCATTTCTTTGGCACCCGCCAGTGAGGAAGAATTTCGGGTGAGCACGCAGTTTTCCCTTCTTTTCTCTTCACAGTGGTGGATGTTTCAAAACACACTAGCTTCACATATTTGTAAATTCAAGCATCGCTTGAAAAATTATTCAATGTAAGTAATTGGAAAGTCAATATAGAGAACACGGATCTCTGTTCTGTCAACATTATAATTATCAAGTACAGGCATAACACGCAAATTTTTATTGAACTAAATAGCTAATCGTTTCTTCTGCCTTGTACAATATACTGGGTAGTCATTACGTTCTTTTCAAACTTTCTTTCCTATTGGTTTCACTGTAACCTTACTGCGCTCATCCAGGCTATCAACAGCACGAAAGTCAACGGACGCCGCGTCTTGAGAGCTGTGGCTGCAGACAACGCCCTTGTGCCGGTGCTCCACAAGGCCTTCAAGACCTCGCTGTATATCCACAAGATCGAAGTCATCAACTACAAGAGGCTTGAGATGTCCTTAGCCAGCCTTCCTGACGTGGACGCCGATCAGCTGTTCTTCCTGATGTACGGCCAGACGCTTTGCGAACCGCACGAAGACACTGCTCGGGTTTTGGCAGAAGCACCATGGCCCCCGGCAAAGATAAGACTCAACATGGCGCTGGCCAACTACCCGGAGTTCGCCAAGGCCTTCAAGTGCGGCAACGACACCGCCATGAATCCGAAGAAGCGCTGCTCGCTTTTCAACTCGAACTGAAGAGAGGGCAATAAAGTGGCACCTTTTTTTTCTGACTGTTGGTGGCTTGCATACAACTACTGCCCTTAAAGAATCTGAAGGTGGATTGCGAGAATAAGTTATAAAATGTTGAATGTTTCCGAAAATGTGTGAACAAGGGGACGAACAAATTGCTAGGGAAAACACGCCACGGTGGTCTAGGGGTTACGCTATTTGTAAGCTGGGCCCATGGTTCTAATATAAACCCTAGACGCGGCCGCTTAATCATGGTGTAGGTGAACATGTTTGTTGACCGTGTAGTCTAACTTAAATTCAAAATAAAAAAAACTTCAGTTCATCGATATCGGCTAAGCTTAACCTGAAATATTTAATTTCTTTGGCAACGTTTTATTTCTCAGCCATACTATAGCGCTCGCTATACGAAAATTCAATATCCTGAGGAGAGCCTTGCTTCCGGCTGCTCTAACTCTAGCGACAAGAAGCGTTATTTTAATATAGTAATGATGATAATCGAAACCTAGATAAAGCTGCACTTGGGCTTTAATTTCTGCCGCCCATTGAATCTCAATAGGCATAATATATGCGTGATAGATTCCGTGTCCAAGTCAGTACTACATGACACATGGCAATCCTTGCTTCCACCCAACAAGCATACTGGTCGCCTTTCCGGACTTGGGGAGTGATGAAGCTACGTAAAGCAGAAAAACCCTTAAACAACTTGAGTCTTCGATCCTAATAGAAAGAAAACACTAATTTTGGTTACCGAAGACAGCGCATACGACAGCGCATATTTACGTGCAGAGAAGCAACTCTTGTACACGTGCAGCGAGTGTGACTGTGGTGTTTAACAAAACTCGTTACACTTGCTTCTATACACCCCTGTGCGTGTGTACGCAAAGAGTAGAAGAATTTGGAATGCTTAACGCACACTGAATCCTGCCAGCTAACTTGCTGCTGTTTTTCCTTGAAATCAAAACACTCTATAGAAGCCTGAGACGTCATGTCTCTTCGGGAGGCTGTAGCGGGCCACGTTTTTTAACAGTGACGTGCTTAACGAATTGTTCCTTGTGGGTAAAGTTGCAAACCTACCATCCTCTAACGAATATACGCGACAGACAGTGGGAAAGTCCCTCTATTTGTATACCACTGGCTCACTACAAATGAAAACAAAAAGTCACCGCTGAAGTATTCCGTACGAGTCGCTAACCAGCGAAAGCTGAAAGGTGCGGCACCAATTTAGCAGTGGGGTCAACCCGATGCAACACTGAAGCCTTTCACAGTTATTGGTTACATTTTCGCGCTTCTTAAAGAGCTCAACACACGTTTGGCTTGGGTTTATCACAGTAGTTATTTGAAACGCCGCACAATGGGCCTCGCATGGTCATGGTCATGGAAGAATTCATTTAGCGGTTAAATGCGTTTCACAATGCATGATTCACAGCAGTTGCTTTTGAAAACACAGGTGGTTACAGACGTCGCAGCCGAAGCGAATGTCCCGCTGGAGAAACCTCCGCCAAAAGCGGGCATTCGCCCCTGTAAACGTGCTCCCGTAATCATCACACTGAAGCACGCCACGTTCTTGCAAGCGTTTGATAACGTGAGCTAACTGAGCGGCTTGGTTTGCAGGATCCCTCCGTCACTAGCACTTGCATTCCCGTTCATGACATAGCTCGGCTTGGAGGGCTGTTGGATTATCGATACGCAGTTGCTGCCGGCACTCGGCCCCGGGCCTGTTTTTGTGCCCGAGCTGCACCTCTTCTACAGTTGTCTGCGGCATACCTATGTGGAAGTTTTCGGGAGAAACTCGCACGTACAGGGCGCCACTGCTGCGACGCGATGGACGACTTACGTCACTCAAAACGCAACCAATGGCGCGCGTGCTTGAGTATGACGCTGCGAACGACGTAACTGGTAACACAGGCGATAAAGGCCACTCGTTACACCACTGCCGGACTGCTTTTCGTTTCTGCTAGTCAGATATAGCTTTTGCTGTAAAAGAGAAAACTTAGCTAACGTTATAGACATCGAAGCGATGGCAGCTAGACGACGACAGCGAGTACGCCCACAGAGAGAATAGTACGAAACGTAAAAACAAGTGGCGTCTGCGAGAAGACCCACGCCAATGACGACACGTCCTCAGATCTATGAGTGCGAACGCTTGGATTCTGTGCGTGTTTTGGTCTCGAGTGCTTGAAAATCAATGACCTTTCTGTGACCGTCTGAGCTTCAATTCGAAGCTCTCTACGCTAATAATCGACGTTGTCAACACCTAGTATCACCTACCTAAACCATCGACGCCCTAGTAGCAGTCTAGAACCTGTCTCACCTAGCTAAGGCCTAGAGGCAACCTGATTAGTCTTCAGAATTTTCCAGTTTTGTTGTTTCCACCCTTTTGTGGCCTAAAGGGTGTTTCATCAGTTTGTTCAAGCGCCCACTTACTTTTAATGCCGAAAAATCGCACTAAATATCGTGTGCATGGCCAAGCTCCGATGTCATCAAATATAGCACATGGTCCCTGTTTGTAGCGTCCCTAACCAGTTCAGAATTACTGAGTGACGAAAAAACACCACGCATCAACTGATGGTGTGACCTTGAAAAATGATAAGACATCTTGAAAGAAGCGTCATCATTACAATGACTTCCAACGATAATTGACAATAACCACAACACGGATGCAAGTCGCATATGAAACGCATAGCTCTCCAGCAGGTTGCTTCATTTTTGATGATGTTTACTTGATTTTCTTTCAGCAATGTAAAAGGACGAACGACACGGACCACAATAGAAAGTGACGCACATGGTTACTCAACGTGCAATTGCAATGTGAGTTTGAAACTTTGAAATGAGAGGCTTGTAGTCTGCAGTATTGTTAGAGCCGGGCCTTGCGTTTTTTTCGTTTTTTTGCTCTCTCTTTTTGAAAGCACAGTCGAATATGGCTACGCGAAACCAAAATTTTTTCGTCGTATGCGTGTAAAAACTCCTCGCGCGTATGACCCACAGATATTGGGTGAGTCCCCGCTATTCAAGCAAAAATGAAGACGGAAATACGCTGGCGGCAGGGAACAATTAGCATTTATGAACAGATGTAACTAACTAATAAGAAATACTTAAGCGACACATAGAAGTTATTTAGTGATTAACGCAGGGCCACGCGCTTCTACTTCACTGGTTAACCATCTGTACCGAGGGCGCAGGTGGTGACTTTTTCATCTTTCCTTCAGCCCGCCAACTCAGTGCAAATATTTCGCAGCCATTGAAGCTGGGCTGCCAAGTACTCCCACTTAACGCCTTAACGGGGCCGTATATTCCCCTCAAGAATCCAGCTCCATCACGTCCCAAAAGGACTCAGAGATGCCTATACTCAGGCGCCAATAGATAGAGGAGAAGAGGTCGTCCATTCACCGTAAATCCCTACTGCTCTGCGATCGCGTTCGTGCCTGCGTTATGTGCGTGCCAAACACACGTTCGTGCGTGACCGTGGATCTCGGAGCGTGATTACAAGGAAAGACCACTGCCAGTCGTTACGTTCGCTTCCTGCCCGTGACGTTAACTCCGTTCCGGTTAACGGCCCGCCTGCGCCTGGCAATGGGATTTGCCTTTGGGTCTTACGACGTGCACGGCTCTGGCCATGGCACCCGTGGGACGAATAGCGGCGCGCACAAAAGCCAACGGTTATTGCTCGGCTCTTTTCCTCGCTGATGCGGTGAATCGCAACTCTTTCTTTCCTCGAACAAAGTGGTCGATTCAGCGTGTTTCTTCGGGCTGCTTTCAGCGCTATATTTGGGCGCGTGCTGTGTACAGCTTCGTAGCGTGCCTCTTTCGCTTCTCTTCGCGTCGTTAAGGAAAAACAAACATGCCAGCAATGTTTGCCGCTGTTAGGCGTGCCAGTATACTGCGAGGCCAAACTAGTTGACCAAAACAAAAATGAAAGACTTGTTCACGAATAAAACTAGTGAATGATAAGTTGTCCTCTTGGCTACTGTACCATTGGCTCTGTCTAATCAGTAAGCCAATCAGCCACTAACGGATAGTAACTCTGTGAAGCTAGGGGGGGGGGGGGGAGCGATGGCTGCTCCTCTCCTTCGTCCAAATTTAGCCTGCCCCCTCCTTAATTGCACACATGGTCGCTATAAAACGCATTTTTACCTCCCGCAACAGTCAAAACAAACAAAAAACCTTGCCTTTACGATCGGGCTTAACACCGCAGACTAGGCTGCCACTCAATGCTCAGTCAGATGAATGAATGGATCTAATTTGAAAAAAGGATTCTGCAACACTTTTATTGCATGGTCAAAAACTCTGACGACTGGTAGTCGACTTTTCTGAGAACACTCGAGCCAAACGTTACAGTGTATAGCACGTGGCCCGACATTCCCAATTTTCAGTCAGCTCAAGATCGTTCCGTCTTCTTCCTACATATGATGCCATACACCCAGAGAGCTATGCCAAATACCTGAATTCAGGGCCATTGGCTTACTTGAGTATCGCGGGATGCATAGTTGAAGCTGCCACCACAGGAGCTGGCCTCATGCCCGCTCGCTTGCTTGCGATCACAATGAAAGTGAGACGGGCGTTGACACAAAACAAAAGAGAACAGGCTCAAGATCATCACGTGCTCGTGATGTGACATCTTTTATTACCTTATCGTCTATCCCTGTTTAGATTCTAGAGTGCTTGTCGGGCGAGAGAAGAGAGAAAGCAACGACAGAGCGCGACAAATATCTTTAACTCCGTTCCTACTTTTTGGTTTCGGAAAATTTTCGGGGTCGTCTAAAGAGAATAAACTCCTTTGTGAAGCCATTCGATGATTACCTGGAAGAGCGACGCAGATCCACTTTAAACACCGTGAACAAAAAGACAAAGTTGGCCCTGTCTGAAGCAGATAAAATCCGTAACAAACCACTTCGGATCGACTTCGCGAATAAGCGCGTTGTTTTTACAAAAGTTAAAAAAATATACACAGACACGGAAGATGCCTGTACTTCGCCTGAAAGGTACTTTCCTGCACGTAACACTGGCCG